CCCCCCCCCCCCCGCAATTTCTGTGGTATAGCTTGTCATCTTTCAGATTTAAGAAATAAATGCATTTGTAATGCTTGATAAGTGATCCTTTTATCAGCCTGAAAGAGCAAATTCTCCCTACGTCTTACTTTATTTCAGGACAGCAGAATGGCTTCTGTTGTTGTGGGTTCCATACAAGTATGTTTCACTGCTGTGGCTGCACTTATCATAGATAAAACTGGACGAAAAGTGCTGTTTTACATATCTGGTAAAACATGTTACTGAATTTTGTTCAGTAAGAAAAATTACTATATATATGGTACTAAAAATTGTCTTAACTGTTGGGGGAATTAAGTATTGCAATTTATGCGTTTATAAATGGTTTACTTTATAATTTGGTATAAATATAGACTTAAACTCCTGAGTTGAAACTACATATTGTAGGTGGAACCCCTTGAAACTACATATTGTAGGTGGAACCCCTTGAAACTACATATGGTTATCTTTTTGTCTTCTTACCAGGCCAGTTTTTATTTTGAAATAGCTATGTCACCGAGGCAGTTCTTACTACTGTGGTAATTTTTCTGCTTAATAAGATTCAGTGTCATCATACATTCTTATACCCAAGTTGTCAACAAATGGCTATTTCAAACTAATTTTTCCATGGCTGCTGGTAGTTTCATTGGCACATCGAGACGTTTAGTTATATGAGACTAGTTAAAAATTTTAACTTTGCTGCTTCCCAGCACGTTTACTTGTAATGTGGAGCAGGACCGGCAGCAAAGCACCGCTCCATGATCCAGCAATGTGCCCTTGTGGCCAAGGCGGCCAACGGTATCCTGGGGTGTAGTAAGAAGAGCGTGGCCAGCAGGTTGAGGGAGGTTGTCCTCCCCCTCTACTCTGCCCTGGTGAGGCCACATCTGGAATATTGCATCCAGTTCTGGGCTCCCGAGTTCAAGACAGACAGGGAACTACTGGAGAGAGTCCAGCAGAGGGCTACAAAAATGATGAGGGGACTGAAGCATATCTCTTACGAGGCAAGGCGGAGAGCTGGGTCTGTTTAGCCTGGAGAAGAGAGGACTGAGAGGGGATCTTATTAATGCTTATAAATATCTAAAGGATGGATGCCTAGAGGAAGGGGCCAGACTCTTCTCAATGGTACCCAGTGACCGGACCAGGGGCACCAGTGACAGGACAAGGGGCAAAGGGCACAAACTGGAACACAGGAAGTTCCATCTGAATATGAGGAAAAACTTACTTTCTCACTTTGAGGGTGACCGAGCACTGGAACAGGTTGCCCAGAGAGGTTGCAGTCTCCTTCTCTGGAGATATTCAAAACCTGCTTGGACGCCATCCTGTGCAACATGCTCTAGGTGATCCTGCTCTAGCACGCAGGGTGGATTAGATGATCTCCAGAGGTCCCTTCCAACCCCTACCAATCTGTGAATCTGTGAAGAAAATTAGTCCTCTTTGATGTTGTTGTTGTGCTGCATACTCAATAGTAATGACTGCTGTCAAGACTATATTGTTTGGCTAGTGTTTAGAATGCTTTTCTAGCATCTTTCACTCCTGTCAAGGCCAGTGTTTTATTTCCAAGAACAATGATGTCATTTAAGAAATGCTTCTGTGAGGGCCAGCACATCTTATATTTGGCTGACTAACTAACTATGTTCTGTCTCTCAGATGAACACCCAAGTGGCACCCAGTCAGCTTGGTTATTGCTTACTTTTCAGGGATAATCATGGCTCTCAGTACTGCATTGTTTGGGCTTTACTTTAAAATGGTCCTTCCACATCAAAACAACTCATCAAATCCTGACGTATGGTTCACTCTAAATTCAGCATCCCTGGGAACAGAAAGCGGCATATCCTGGCTTGCAGTAGTGAGCCTAGGGCTCTTTGTTGCTGGTAAGTAAGTGGAACAGGCATCTAAGCAGCCATTACACAAAACTCAAACTTTCTGATGAGTGAACCACTTTTGTTCCAGTTTGTCACATTATTGATGAATGGAAATAATGAGTTATGTCTTTGACAGACCTTTTCAGTGTATAATGCCAAGTTGGTCTGAGTGTTCACAACCCTGGTGATTGAGCTAGCAGCTTAGTTAAGCAACTTCCCTGAAAAATTAATTTATATTCCTTGTGCTAATAGTAAGTAGTAATTGCTCAGGTTAAATTGTTTTACAGTCATTAATGAAAAAAAACCCCAGTCTTTCTTAGAGTCTGAGCTTCAGTGAATTCTGTGATGGTACAAGGTAGCAGCAGTTAGAAACAAGGTCAGTTTTTCAGAGACTTTGTGGCAAGAAATTCTGCTTTTTTAAGAATAGTCTTGCAACAAATTTGATGTAAAATGCACTGTTGTGTATCACGTTGCCCTAAATTAATTTATTCTTCTTCCTTCTTGTAGAGGTACTGATTTACTGGAATAATCCAAGAATCTAGCCTGAAAACTGCATCCCCCTTACCTATCTTGAGCATCATTCAGTTTTTTCCCTTTAATAGATACTTAACTTGCATTTATTCTCTCTGTTTGCAATTGCAGGTTTTGCCCTTGGCTGGGGTCCTGTTCCATGGCTGGTGGTATCTGAAATCTTCCCACTTAAAGCTAGAGGCATATCAAGTGGTGCTTGTGTGTTAACAAACTGGGTTATGGCCTTCTTGGTAACCAAAGAATTTAATGATTTTATAGTAAGCATCGCAAATCACAATCTAAAATTTCTTTTCATAGGGAAATTTATTAAAGATGCTTCTGAGAGAGCCTTGAGCCACAGTCTTCTCTGGCAATACAGAACTCTAGTTGTAATACTACTATTATAGTAATATTACTGAGCTGTAATGCTTTTTTCTTTTTTTTTTTTTGTTTCCCCTCCCTCAGGGTTTCTTAACATCCTATGGCACGTTCTGGCTCTTCTCTGCCTTCTGCTGCCTCAGTGTAATTTTTACAGCCTTTTATGTTCCTGAAACAAAAGGACAGACCTTGGAACAAATTGAGGCCTACTTCAGAAGATGATAAACTGAAAGTTTTTTATACTGATATGAAACCTTCATATCATGAAGTATGGTGCTATGGTTGAAACTGCATCACATGGCAGACATCTCAGTTACTAAACTTGCTAACAAATAATTTTAATGAATTTTGTAAAAATCAGAATTCTGTTGTTTTTTTTAAAAAAATAATCTATGGGGATCTGCATATGCTTCTGCAGAGTCCCTGTAGTAAATCTCCCTTGTGCGGGTCTTGGACATCGTATTTTTCTTCACTTCCTGTGTTCTTTTCACCTGCTGCAGACTGACTATAATGGCCAAGTAAGAATGTTAACGGTATTAGCCAGTACCTTTTTTCCTAAGATGTAAATCAAGATCTAATTTTGTAAATAAATAATTGAAGTCTCCTCGCTCTACTTTACCTTTCCTTTATGGCATGTGTTACAGCGAAGAAATGAATGATGTAGCCTGGCTAACGATAATTCCAGACTCCTTTGTGTTGCTGCTAGTATTTCTGAGACTATGCCTAACCATGGAATGAGTCTTGGTCCCAACTGGAGACGAATGCTTGGCTTTCACGGGTGTTAAGTTGCCATTATTTTTCTTATGGCTGTCATGGGCTAGCAATGCATTTAAATCGCAAGAAGGGTTATAGCTCTTAGGAGAATCTATTTTAGAATTCAGGAAAGAGCATTGCTTTTTCAAAAGGAAGCACAAGGTCTTGGAGACAGCAAGAATATACTCTTAGCCAGAAAAGGAGAAAAACTCTCTTTTTTAGTGCTTCAACTGGAGCAGGTCTCTGAAAGTCTAAAAGATGCCTGGAAACACAAACCAGTGTTGGATTGGTTTTTCGAAGACGGGTAATGCTTAAACCACAACCACCAATCTCACATGTATGATAGAGCACTTAAATGAATGACATCTCTGAAACAAAATTTCTAGAGAAATCAAATGGAAACAGTAATCCAGAGCTGTCTGCAATCCTGTACTACCCTCATTTGTCTGATGAACCAAATTTGGAAAAGCCATTAGTACTGCATGTGTGAAAGAAAGAAGTGAGGTCAAAGGTATGGTTTATTACATATGAAGGAATAAATCATCTGTTACTCCTTCACAAAGGTGATAAATGGCACTTAAAACAGTTACAGCTGTGATAGGACTGTTTCTATTTGGATGTCGCTTCTAAAACACAAACCATACACACTATCACATGACATTAAAAACAATGGTAATACATCAGCACTTAAGACAAGTGGTAGATAGAGTTTTTGATCACAAACGTAGCAACAGTCTTAACAATATGCAATTATTAAATTACAAAGCAGTCTGCTAACATTCAAAGACTTAGTTAAAACTGACATTCCAGGTTGATAACACTTTTTGCATAAACCTTTAGAGACATAACATTTTCCATTTAACCAGATAAATACCTAGTAGAGCTATAAATAAATATGCAGAAAATAATCTCTTAAATTTTCTCTTCAAATCATGGGTTAATACCATGATTTCCAGTAGCGAACAGGAGTCAGTCAGTTGCAGGTCAGCAACAAAGTGAAGCAGCTAGGCAGTATACAGGCTGGTGAAGTTACTGTGCTCAACTAGTAAAGAGTAAAAATACTTTCTAACCTGCATGCAAGTACAGATCTGTGCTGCACACTGTCATACGAGCTTTCCTGTATTGTTAAGATTAGGTTCTCAGGGTATAATTTATTCCTCCACAAAATAAGGCTAAGCCTAGCTGAGAAAATACTGCTTTAAGAGAATTAGCAAACACTGTGCATATGAATAATGACATCAAATTGCTAATAATGACAATAGTATGATACTCCTTTTCATACACAGAAGGCAACAAAAATTCACACTTGCAGATGGGATCCCACTGCCCCCTCCCCCCTCCCATCAATTAGATTCTTGTATATGCCTCGGACTTTTAATCCCTTAAAACTTGTGATAGAAATTACAAATATACACGTGTGTGTACATACCTATGTATTTTTAAAAGAAACAAATCCAAACCCAAAGGATTATATATCTCAAATGCAGACTAAGCCAACAGTTCTGGGAAAGCTGCTGCATCTGCAAGCACAACTTAGAGATCCATACCTTTAGGAAAACACGCATGAGCTTGACTCCGTGGCTTGGTCAAATGTACATAGAACAGCAGAAAGTAAACGTCAGGAGCAGCAGCCTTGACCATATGTAACTGGTTATGTGTTACACTTCAGGTGGGTGCTACCTGTCCTCTGCCCTGTTAAGAACTGTTTAATTACTTAGTTGACTGACCTACTACTTAAAAAAAATAAATAAATTTGCATCTACCAATCTATTACAAATGCTTGCGTATGTGTAGAAATAGTCACGTGAAGGTAGACAGCAAGCCTGCTATTCATTCTGGATGCCACTTGCATCCTGTATGTTACGCATCACAAAAAAACCCACAAAACAAAACCAAAAAACCCCAACAAAAAATATCCCAACCACACCAAAAAAAAAAAAACACAAAACCAACCCCAAAAAACCCAAACCAAACCCACCCCACAACCATCCCCCAAATGCCAAGAAAACCAACCAACCTCCACCCCAGCTTCAAACGCAGAAAGGACTGCAATCAGAACAGACCCTACTTGTTCCTTGCAAACCAGGAAAGTGAAGGTACCCATATCTCCATTCAACCTAGAGTCCAGAGCTCTCACTACCATGAATAGCACCTAGCCCTTTCATATTGCGTGCGGGTCTCTAACTCACCTTAGAAGGAAGTGTTTTGTTACTTTCAAACATTTATAAGATTTATGTGTCCTGCATTGACACTAGAAGAAAGAGGAGCTGGACAAAAAAATGATTGTTAGTCTGCAACAGTTCCTAAAGCCCTAACTATAGACTTTGGGAAGGGCTCATCAAAGCCTCAACCTTAAGAGCCGCATATTATGTGTGTGAAAGCCTTCGCTTAGCTCGTGTGCCTCGTGGCTCTTGAGTCCTAGTCACACTTCAAAGTTGTGGTGATGGTTTATATGCATGTTGTAGTGTAAATATGGGACAAAGATGATCAGTAGCTCAAAATGTTGCATCCCCGTTCTGAACGGACTCAGAATGCAACAACATGGCACTGAACCAACCTGACACTGATGCTGTCTTGAATGGAGGTGCGTGGGTGCAGGTACTGGACTGGATGATCTGCAGTGGTCCCTTCCAACCTCAGCTATTCTGTGATGCCATGTGTCATTACCCGTGCTGGTAAGGAGGCACAAGTACATTCTACGTTAACTGTGTGGACAGTCTAATGCTTGCACCAAAGTAAATGACATTCCTATAATTTAGTCAGACTAAGGCACAGTGCTGAAGTGGTGACAATCTTATTAGCAAGAAGGGTTTAAGAGCCCTACCTCCTTCAACAAATATAGCATGTTGGGATAGAAAACATTTCTTATAGAAACTTATGTGTTTTAAAGAGTCCAGAACAGGCTTTCAGTTGAGCTTAGCTTAATAGCAAATGTTCAACTTGGTAACAATTCTTCCTTCACAGAAAGAATTTCTTCCATCCATCTGTAGCAAGATTTTTCAGTATTCCTCTCTATTAGAACAATACGATTCTTACATAGCTGTAGATTCAAAGATTATCTTTTCTCTCATTCATGAGATGGTCAGCCAACACCAAGAACAGAAGCTAAAGGCAGCTTTAACATAAGATGTGGAAGTAGGAAGGGTTGTGCTTAGGGTGGACATGGCTACAATTTGTGCCCAAGACTACTTTCTAAGTTTTAATGCGTAGATGCATGCAAGTGCTGGAGAAGCAGAAGGGAAACAATGTGGCTCTAAGGCTGGCGTGAACGACAATATAGCTGTCCATCCCAGTAGTCTTCCAACAAGCCTTGTCCCCTGACACTAGTCTGAAGTAGGAGAGGTTGCATAGATGTGTAAAAACCTTGCCCTTTATAAATGATGCACAAGAGCTTATATATCAATACCCCCACTTGGCTTTTGTTTTGATTTTAATTAGCAGTCTGAATGGTATGGATCTAAGACAGTATCTTGAGAGAAGCAATGACTAGAAGCTAGTTCAGAGGATGCCAGCACATCACACTAAGAGGCATGTAACAACTCACAGCAATCTGATGAGACTGTTCAGAGCCCACAGAAACCACACCTTGTACAGTGGATACATGTCCAGTTGTGCCAGCAATTTCACATAATTGTGTGATATTTTGTCTTTTGATACAACAAATGTGATAAAGACCTTCACAGAATTTGGTTCTTGTGGCTTGTGTCAAACAAAATTGGAACATTATTACCATGTTCTCTGCCTTCTACCTATACTCTGGGCTGCTCTTGTACAGTAAATAGGTAGTAAACTACATATACATGACCCTAAAGCCTCAGCTACCATCTCCAGGTGTCATATAAACCAAACTAATGTTGCCTGAGCCCTCCCAACTTTTTTTGCTAGGTCTAATATTATCCACACATCCCTGCAAGACAATGCTGATTAATTACAGAAGCAAAAACTCAAGAAGTGGCAGCCTTGTTAAGGCACTTAACTGCATACATTAGGAATGAAGTCAGGTAATCTTTTTTCCAGGGTTCAGATCCTTCCTGTCCTATATGAGCAATAGTCTGTTAGGTATGCTAGTTCCCATTGTGACCTGCCTAACAGCTTGCACCTGACTCATTAAGTCAAGCTATAGCATAAAATTCAGGTGGAAGGGGTGCGTGGGGGGGCAGTTGCTGGGCTTCCCTCTTCAAACTATACCAACATCCTGTTCCAGGATAAGTACCACGAAGCTAGTCCGACCTGGTTTTGTCTAGCTCAAAGCAATCCAGTTTAATCTGTACTCCTTACAGCCCATTAGCTGTTTGTTAGTATTTGCTAGACATCATCAATGCTGTAATTCCAGGCAGACCTTCAGAGGTTCTCACACAGCACACTAACGTTCTTACTTTACGGCAATACTTCGTAGCCACTGCTGTGGTTCTGGTTAGTGAAGTAACTCGTGCTTCGTGGCCTCTCTGTCTGTTACCATGTCTTAGTTATGACACAAATGCCACATCTATATGCATCCTGACTACCATCATAGCCAGTGG